AAAAAAAAAAGAAAAGAAAAAGAAAAAGAAAGAAAGAAATGCTGTAGGTAGAACACAGCTCAGGTAAAGGCCCTAGCTTCAACCTCCAGTACCGCAAAAAGAATAGTGTTGTAGACTGACTGATGAAATTTTCAAGAAACAAATAGGTATGACCCAGTTACTAGAAGAAAGCTACAGCTGGACAGTGGGTGTATAATATAGTGACAAAGTATTTAAAGCTGGGTTTTTATGGACAGTGGTTAGAAACTGTGTGGGTTTGAGTTCAATCCCTGGTTCTGAAAACAAAAACAAAAAAACAACCAGAAATTTAGTGGGTAAAATGTTTGGTAGAAAAAAAGATTAAGGCAAGGCTGAAGGCAGACTGTCAAGGGCCCTGCATGTCAGTGCTTATTACTGTGGGGGTCTTTTATTTTGTCAGCTGGTTTAGTACAAACTCCCTACTATTCTCTCTGGTAGAACAGTTACTGTACTCATCACATGAATGATCACAATGGTTACTAATTATATCTTGGCTGAATTAAAAACCACATTAGTTAGGAAATAGTAAGATGCCCCCACAATGTTATCTATTATCATATGTAAGATTGAGGTTGCCATCTAAAGGGACAATAAATCTTAATTACTTGATAGTAAAGCTAACCAGACTAAGAACATAAGAAAATACCAAATGAGCTGGGGAAACCCAAAGGTGGTCATAAGTAAGGTGAGGGAACAGACTACAGAAGGGATTACTGCCTGGGGCCAACTTTCACCACCTATGGGTCCAAATCATTTGCTTCTCCTGTTCAGTTAGTGACCCCCCCCTTTTTAAAAAATCTTTTATTTATTTTTAGTTTATTTATTTATTTATTTAGTGTGTGTGTGGCCAGCTCAGCCCACCAGGGGGCGGGGCTGGCTGGCATGTGGTGCTGGGGGATTGAACCGCGGTCCCTGTGTTTTGCTTAGTTTAGCTTGTTCTAAGTAGGTGCTTTAGACCATTGAGCCATCTCACCAGCCCCCTAAATCTTTTATTTATTTGTATAGTACAGGTTCTTACTATGCAGCTCAGACTCATGGTGATCCTCATCTCAGCCTCCCAGCTCTGGAATTACAGATGTGCGCCACCATGCCTGGTTTTGGTGGCTAGCATGGCACGCCCAGGGTACTGGGGCTGGCATGGCATGTAGTGCCGGGAATCAGACCCACGTCTTTGCGCTTGCCATGCAGGCACTTAAGACCACTGAGCCATCTCCCCAGCCCCAGCTAGTGACTTGTTAAATGGGTCTGCATTTATTCATGTGCCTCAGCAAAATTGGGAGCTCAATGAGATATAGTGCAAGTGCTTTGAAAATACACTATACAGGGGCTGGTGAGATGGCTCAGTGGTCTAAAGCACCTACTTAGAACAAGTTTAGCAAAGCACTGGGACCGCGGTTCAATCCCCAGCACCACATGCCAGCCAGCCCCGCCCCCTGGTGGGCTGAGCTGGCCACACACATACACACACACAAATAAAAAAAATTAAAAAAAAAAAAAAGAAAAAGAAAATACACTATACAAATATGAAATACTGGAGACAGAGTAGTTTGACCTAGAAATACAGGAGGAACAGGGCAGAAATACTTATATATGGCAATGATTGGCAAAAACCAAAACCAAACCTTAATAATGCCGAGCTGGTTGTGGTATATGCACGCAGGAGGCTGAGGCAGGGTTGCCATCATGTTCAAGGTCGGTCTGAAGTACACAGTGAGCCTGTCTCAAAAACAACCCCCCCACCAAAAAAACCCCCTCAAATCCCCAAATCAGAAGCAATGCTGAGATAGCTGAGATAGAGCAAAGGATTAAATTTGTAATGAGAAATTTCACATTTGTCTTGACATGATGAAAGCCTCAACAAAAAGCCTTTACTGGTATTTATGTGCAACTTATTTTTTAATGTATTTGGTAAAGGGTCTCACTATGCAGCTTAGACTCATAGGGATTCTTCAGTTTTCAGCCTCCCCAGAGCTGGAATTACAGGGGTGCCATCTCAGCAGCTGGCTCAGCAAGCCTGGGGCCGGCAGGGCATGTGGTGCCAGGGAGCAAACCCCAGTCTCTGCACTTGCCTGAGCAGGTGCTTAGTCCGCTGAGCTATGTTGTTGGCCTCAACTTTATTTTTATAGTGGTAGGTTACAGGATAAATCCTGAGGGGACTTGACTGATCTTATCAGATACAAAAGTTATATTTCTTGTTATATAGGTCTTGCTTTATCTTGGTCTTAACCATCCAGCAGAAAAGTATAAAAATGAGTTATAAAAAGTAAAGCTATATTAATATGCTGTGCTGTAAAAGGCTCTAGTCAACAACTTCTGCAGATAACCCACTACTATTGTGGACTACTTGACTGTATTGGATTGTTTTGCTGTAATTCAAGCACCTAAAATATTTAGATGCCAATAGAATACCCATCTCTGACAGGACTGGAGAGGGGGGATACAGAGGAAGGACCATTTTGTATTTGTATATACAGAATAGTTAGGATAGATGTACAGCTGTTTTCGCTTGGTTCAGTGAGAGGATTTGTAGTAGTGTTTGGACGGGATGTCCTGGCTGCTTCTTGTGCTGTGGATGACTGCTGAGAAGATAACAATGTGCAATGTATTAATTTTTTTTTTTTTTTCCTGGCAGAACCGGGGATTGAACTCAGGCCCTTGCACTTGCCAGGGAAGCGCTCATTCCACTGAGCCATCTCCCCGGCCCCTACAGCACCATATTAAGCTGTGAACAGTTAGCAGTCTTGTTCGTATTTTAGCCATTTAGGTAGTACCTGGAATTTATTAAGGGGCACAATTAACATTTGAGTGATACTGAAGTTGCCAATGGCAACACCTGACAATCACAAGTTCAGAGAACACCTACGCAGTTCTCTGCTAGGAGACAAGGCATGTGGACTTGAGGGCAAAAGAAATGAGCCCCGAGAAGTCAAGGGGCCACTTCCAGGAGCCCAGTGCTATTTTAACCTCCTAAAAAAATTCTGTACATGCATCATTACTTTCAGGGGAGATCAGAGGTGTGCTGTTGGGCAGAGGAGGAAGTAGCAATGAAGTGAGTAATAAATGTTTACTCTGAAGACTTTGCTGGCAATAGCAGGGTTCAAAAAAGTAACATTTCCTATCAGTAAGTCACCTAGGCCTCTGGACATTTTAGCCAGCTGACTTTTGGGCTTTTTTTCCCTGGTTAATTTAATACTCACTATGAAACAGAGAAACTCACAGACCAACATCACCACGATAGGAAAGCTCTTTGCAGTCTTACTCTGCATATTTTAAGTTACTGAATGTTTTGAGAGTAGTTTCAGTTTTGCTCACCTGTGTTTGTTACAGAAACAGTAAATTGGGCCTTCATACTTCAGAAGAGTAGCTAGGGTTAGGCCTTATGGCACACACCTGTAATCCCAGGACTCAGGAGACTGAGGCAGGAAGATTGAGAGTTCAAGGCCATCTTAGAATACAGTGAGACCCTATCTCAAAAACAAACTACCCCACCCCCCAATGTAGGGAGTACATTTAGGGTTGACAGGACTAAGACTCAAAACTATTAGAGGATGAATAACATCACATGAACCATGTTTTTATAATAAATATGCAACCATCTGTGGATTATCGACTGGCACTGCCTGACTGGCAGTGGCTGCAAGGAAGACACCACACCACATCAGCCAAGGACTGTATGGGCCCCAGAAAAAGCCAGTGATGGCCAGTATGTCCAACAGCCTCAATGAAGTGGCTAAAGACATCAGCCCAACAACAATCATATTTGTTTCAGGATGTATTACTTAGATGCATGGATGATACTGTTATCACCCTAATGATCTGTAGGACATTTTATTTTTGCAAAGGCTCTAAAAAAAAAAAAAAATCACAAAACCAATTAACATATAATTTGATATAAAAAAATTAAAATACAAAACATAGGTCATAGCACTCAGTCACTGTCATACTGTTAAAAATACTAACAAACAAGCTGGGTCTGATAGTGCACGCCTCTAATCACAGCATTCCAAGAGGCTGAGGGAGAACTAAAAGTTCAAACCCAGCCTGGGCAACTTAGTGAAAAGAGCTGGGGGTACAGACTGGTGACCCCGAGTCCAATCCCTATTACATCATCACAACAACAAAAAAAGTCACAAACATGTAACTAGAAAACCAGCCTTGTACCCTCTTCCTTCCTCTACTGAGGACAAATACTCCAGTTGACATGAACAAAAGAACCAGACAAACTTAAAGGAGCACTCCAATTTATAGGCACAGTAGCCGTCAAAGGGTTTTACTGCGATCGTGGCAGAGAAACAATCTAATTTTATTCTTTGTAACTATAATTTTTGGTACCAGAGATTGAACTCAGAACCTTGCACATGCCAGGCAGGTGCTTACACATCTGAGCTATATCTCTGGTCCTAACAATTTAAGACAGGATCTCAAGTTGCTGAGATAGGCCACAAACTCCTGGGGAGATGTTGATACTTTGGGTATCTCCCACCATGCTCAACTTTTACTAATATGATTTAAGTACATTACTCTGGCATGTTATTACTACTTCTTGTATAAGTTGTAGTTTTTGTGTTTGTGGTACTGGGGATTGAACTCAGGACTCTGCACTTGCCAGGCAAGTGCTTATTCTACTGAGCTATCTCCCTGGTCCTGTAGTTTTTCATTTTTGTTTTTTGAGAGAAGGTCTCACTATGTGGATGAGGCTGGCTTCAAATTCAAAGTGATTGTCCTGTTTCAGCTACTTGTGTGCTAGGATTATAGGCACACACCATCACACCTAGCTCCCAGCATGGTCTTGGCTACTTTACTCCCAATTTTTCTGGAATATATCTTAAAATACTATCTTCACATATTTATTTATATTCATCTTCCAATTTCAGACTAAAAGAACCTGAATTTAGAGTTATATTAAAATATTAAAGCCAAACAGAATCCAATTTAGTATCAAAAACTGTGATCTTCCATGTAGTATTTAGACAGAGAAAACATTGACAGTTGACACATCTCATTTTATTCGGAGAGCAGATAATTCTCAAATACTAAATCCAATATAATCAGATGTTAGACATTCAAACATCATAGCCAATGATGCCACGCTTGCCTATGATCTCTCCGATATAAAACCACATCCACACTTCAGTGGCCACCAAACCATTCAGCACAGCTTCCTGAAAAAAATAAGTACAAATTTTAAGGTATCTCTTTTTTTACACGTATATATTTAAAATTATTCTTTTCCAGGATTGAGTACAGACAATGTAAGCATGCTACTGCTACCAGGCAGTTTCAGTTAATGTTGATGTTAACTTATTGGTGTTAACTTTGTTTGACTGCTGAGAACCCTTGAACTTTTAATTTTGTAAGTAGTCCAGAGCTTATAAATTCTTTCAAAGCATTCTTTAGAGACCTGAACTGACTTAACCCTTTCATTATTAGTTTATGAGACACTTTATAGGTCCTAAAACAACCCACATCCTGGAAATAGCTGACACTTTTAGACAGGGCATTCATGACAGGATGGATACAAGAATCTGCTTCATGATGAAGGGCTCTATCTTCTTTATACTTCATCTGTATTTACATTATTTGGCTTAATTCTATGTATTCAGTATTGTTTCATAATGGGAGTACATTTTTATGGCCCCAAAAGAAAAACGAACAGTTGAAGAAAACAACTGTTTCACAAATATGGACCTTAAGATGCTGACGAAACAGCATCTCTAACAAAATTGGGCCTTTTCCTTTCAGCACTTCTGAAAGTGAATTTTTTCCCTTCAAATTAGACCAGAAGTTACTGTTTTCTGAAAAATAACTTTCTCAGTGCAAAGGTCACTAGCTATTTAGGCTTTTTGTACCCTCTGCTCAGATCAAATCAATATAAAATTGAAGTTTGTTCTTATGGTCTTTAAGCTTCAAGTAACTTGATAACCCAGGTTTTGGCGTATTTTCTTCCATGTAAGTGGTAGTGTCCTATAATTTGAAAGTTCTAAAAAAAGAATAAATAAACAACAACAACAAAACCAACCCGAAACAATAAAACCCCACCTGAGTTATATCATGTACAGGTACAAATTCTCTATAATGTGATCATACTGTATATCTAAAATGTTCCAATACAATCTGATTAAAAAAGAAAAAGAAAAGAATGAGAGTTGTTTTGACTGGATTGGAAATAATTACAAGACTAAAAATGAAAAAAAATGTAAATTAGCAAAGCAAACCATCTTTTTTTTTTTTTTTTTTTTTGAGACAGGGTCTTGCCTTGTAGTTCTGGCTAGCCTCAAACTCACAGCGATCCTTCTGCCTCAGCCTCTTGAGTGATGGGATTACAGACATGTCTCATCCCACCCAGCATATATTTTTCAATACTAGCTAAAACTAGGGGGAAAAAAAGCTTTCTATTTTTCTTTTTTTGCAGAACCAGGGATTGAACTCAGGCCCTTGCATTCTACTGAGCTATCTCCCTGGCCCCAAGCTTTCTATTTTTTAAGAATGCTTTCTTGCTATAGTATAAAACTACTATGGGGCTAATGAGATAGCTCAGGGGACTAAGTGCCTGCTTAGGCAAGCACAAGGACCAGGGTTCAATCCCCAGGACCACCCGTTGAGACAGCTCCACCCCTGGGTTCACTGAGGCAACCACTGAGACTAGGCGTGGTGGGGCATGCCTGTAATCCCAGTGCTGGGGAGGCTGAAAACAGAGGAGGATGACTATGAGTCCAAGCTGTGTAGTGAGACCCTATACCCAAATATATTATTATTATTATTTTTTTAAAAGCAAAAAAACACAAAAATGCTAGGGCTGGGCATTGTGGCACATGCCTATAATTTCAGCACTTGGGAGGCTAAGGCAGGAGGACTGTCCTGAGTTCAAAGTAAGCTTGGGCTACATATGTGAGTTCAAAGCCAGCCTGTTCTACGTAATGAAACCCTGTCTCAAAACAAAGTAAAACAAAACTAAACAACTAGGAAACTAAGACATAAAATAGTGAAAGTATTTCTACCCAGATGACAAAGTTAGAAAAGTCACTATCTTCATAGTAAAAAAGATATATCATATTCAGCCTCATTGGAAAAAACATATTCATCAAAATAATCAGAAGAACCCCAAGGGAAGATCTTTCTATTATGCACATAAGTTTTTGCTTAGCCTATAGTTACCTTTATTGTGAGCTGTTTGAAGCTACCAGTTTGAGCACTACGGACTATTTTTTTCAGGCTCTGAATAGCTGCAGGGATCTCAGCAGGGGTTGGAGGAACCAGCTCAACCTTGGCATAATGCCAAAATGTGGCCAATCGAGGCTTCGAGTAAGTCACAGCAGCTGGAAAACAAAACAAAACAAAACACCAGGATGAACTCACTAGAGATGGAAAGAAGCAGATGTGTGGGTTGGACACAAATATTTATTCATGCATCACATTCATTCATTGCTTATACCAAATGTGCACCCAGTGTGAAAAGTCAAAGCTGCGCCTGGGTAACAAGAGGCTTTTAAAGATGCAGAACACCTGTGTCACAGGGACGTTTAATCAGGCAGGAAGCTACAAGCACATTCAATTATGCTGGGATTTCACTAGTGGCCAGCTAGTGCTGTTGCTCCACTTATGAATGGCAAATTTAATTAACTGTAAAGTCACCAGTAGTTGGAGTCAAAAGCAAGAAAATCAGCAATTTATTCACATTTCTTGGTAAAGAGATCAGAAAATATAGAAGTCCAGACGAAGGAAAGTGCTACCAGAATGGTACCCTTAAGATTAAAATTTATTAGAACACTGACCACAAATCCAGATGGAACTATACCAATTAGTGTCTGCTTTTGGTACACTCAATAACATGTACTGGATTATATCTTTAACAAAAGCACAGCTGCTTCTTAAAAAAAAAAAAAAGAAAAAAGAAAAAGAAAAAAAACAAACCCACAAAAAAATCCCCACAATAATGAAACCTACATGTGTTAAGAGTCACCAAAATTAGAGTAAACTGAAATCCTCCAAGGTATTTACTATTTCAAGAAGAGAGATCCCTAATAACCATAGTAGATGTGACACTATGGTAGTGACTCCAGCAAGAGGAAAAAAACTATCATAAAAAACACAGGATATAAAAAAAAAAAAAAACAAAAAAACCACAGGATAAATAATAATAGTATGAGGGCTGGGAACAAGCTATAAGCTTGAAGGTAGGGCTTGAACTTAAACCTGTGAAAGAATAAAAAGAGCTTAATTGCATGAACAGTCATCAAGTGTTTATTGTTCAAAGTTGGATTAGTGAAGGCTGTTAGTGCTTTTCATATTTATTAACTGTCTGTACGTAGATACCTCACTATTCTCAGATTACTATCTACTTCTTCCTTTGTGTTTGGGGATATAGTATAAAATTTTAAATAGGCATGAAGTCCTAAGAGATTATTTTAAATACAACTGGTGATGCAGGTAAAAAAGTACAATGTCTCCAGGAACAGTCAACCGTTGTTAAAAATCATCCTCAACACAGACATCATTCTAAAAGAAAAAAAAAAGCAGTCAGGCATGGTGGTGTACACCTGTAATGATAGCACTCTGAAGGTCAAGGCAGGAGGACTAAGTTCAAGCCCACCCTGGGCAACTTAAATGACACAGTGAGACCTTGTTTCAAAATAAAAAGGGGGGGCCGGGGAGATGGCTCAGTGGAATAAGCGCTTCCCTGGCAAGTGCAAGGGCCTGAGTTCAATCCCCGGTTCTGCAAAAAAAATAAAAAATAAAAATAAAAAATAAAAAGGGGGCTGGGGAGATAGCTCAGTAGACGAAGCGTTTGCCTGGCAAGTTCAGTGTCCTGAGTTCAATCCCTGGTACAAAAAAAGGGGCACTAGTCCTGTCCCCAGTGTGCTAAGCTGGCCACTGAGACCAACAATGGTGATGCACCCCTATATTCCCAGCACCGGGGAGGCTGAAAACAGGAAGATCACTAGAGTCTGAGCTGCAAAGTGAGACTCTGTACCAAATACATTAAAAAATAAACAAAATAAAAAAGGTATGGGATACAGCTTTGTCTACAGCTCTTGAGTTCAAAGGCTAGCACAGAAAAAAACCTCAAAAACCAAACAGGGTAGAGTGCTTGCCTACCAATCACGATTCTCTGGTTTTCAGTTCCACCATCTTCCAAACAACAACAACAACAACAACAAAAAAAAAACAACCAAAGAAGAATAAAAATCCCCAACACTACTTCTACTGTAATTATTGAATTTTTTCGGGGGCGTAGGTTAATAGGCTGGAAACTGCTTAAATGTTTGAGTGACGAACAAAACATAAATGATGGGTAATGGGTGCCAGATTTCTCAGTGAGAGGAGGGAAGTTAGAGATAAGCAAGAAACTTAACAATAGTGGCTATCGGTGGGTGGGTGAGTGTATGTGTGTGTGTGTGTGTGTGTGTGTGTGTGTGTGCACGTGCACGCACACAGTCCTAGCTAACTGAAGGCTGAGTCAAGGAGATATTGTGAGCTCAGAAGTTCAGGAGAGCCTAGGCAACACAGTGCTCTCTGTATATTTCAGTGGTATATTATGTGCTTAGCATGTGCAAGGTCCTGGCTTCAAGCCCAGCACCAAAAAAAAGAATAAACCTGGGGCCGGGGAGATGGCTCAGTAGAATAAGTGCTTGCCTGGCAAGCTCAAGGGCCTGAGTTCAATCCCCAGTTCTGCAAAAAATAAAAAAATAAACCTAGATTACAGTTGGAGACATTCATATGAATCAAGCTTAGCTTAACATATGTACAGATGAATGCACTGAGTTACAATCATGTACACACGTTATGTGTGTGAACCCCCCTCAATAGGCATCTGTATCCTTTGTCCAGAGAGAGGAACCAGAAGCAATGATATTCTAGTGGTAGAGAGCAAATCCAGCACCTAGATTTTAGTTAACTTCCATTGTCTAGTAAAAAGTTACTCTCTTTGCAAAAAGGCCTGCTTTGCTGGGCAGAGAAAATATGAATCTGCATATAGTACCAAAAAGTAATGGGTCATGTCAAAGGGATGGAGTGTGAACCAAAAACCATTCCTTGTGGCCAAATCTGTAACAATTTAAACAATGAAAAACATAGCACCGGGGGCATGGCCCTAGCTCAGGCCTTTAAGTGGCTGCTTCCACAAAGCTCTCAGCCTCAGGTTGCTGGAGTTCGAACCTCACAACTCTCCTGCTGGCCAAAA